AACATAAAAAAGCTGAATGACTTTTATGGATGAGGGTGTTTAAGCATTTCCCCGGCCCAGTGTTATAAATCTCTCGCTAATATAGTAAATCTGCAAATTGACTTATTTTAATTTAATATTTTTTTCAAAATGTTTTAAAATACTTGAAGCTGTGTCCCCAAGTTGTGTTAAATTGATCTGTTACTATATTTATTTTCCCTCTTAAAGTAATGAACTATTCCATAAATAAATAAAAACAGAGGTGAACTCTTTCTGGATAAGTTACTGTATATTTGGCAGTAATGGATGATTGTAAAATGTCAACCCTGTTACTGTGGTTTTGAAAGCAAATAAAACATTTAAAACAATTCAATCATTTAATTTAACGACCTTGAGCACAAGACTTGTAAATATCGATCTGTAAAACCTCAACCCTGTTATCATCAATGCTTTTATTAGCGCAATTGCTAATTATGTCCCAACATACCATTCAAAAGTCTGATAAGATTTTATAAAATGTTTTAGAAATAAGTTTCACCAAGGCTGTATTTTTTTGATCAAAAACAGTAAAAATACAGTAAGAAAATAGCAATATTGTGAAATAATTATTTTAATTTAAAATAACTGTTTTCTATGTTAATATATTGTAAAATGTATTTTATTCCTGTGATCAAAGCTGAATTTTCAGTATCATTGCTCCAGTCTTCAGTGTCACATGATCCTTCAGAAATCATGCTAATATGATGATTTGATGCTTAAGAAACATTTCTGATTATGTTTTCTGGATTCTTTGATAAATAGAAAGTTCAAAAGAACAGCATTTATTTGAAATAGAAATCTTGTGTAATATTAAAACTTTACTGTCGCTTTTGATCAATTTAATGTGTCCATGTGGAATAAAAGAATTAGTTTCTTTCTAAAACAGACCCCAATCTTTTAAAATGCACACCAGAAGTTATGAATTTAGCATTAGATGGCACAATTAAAACATTAATTGCCTGATGTTCCAACTTTGAAATCTTACAAACATTTAATTGTTAAAATCACCCCATCCAACTCTTAAAGCAGCCGTTTTATAGAATAATAAAATAAATCTATTTGTATCAAATAATAATACTAGCATACATTACCTGGTTTTCTTGGATTGGTCCTGTAAAACCAGCACAATATGCCCACAAAGATACATATAAATACTAAGAGTGATGCAGAGAAGAAAATTATGAATGATTTTTGTTCCGATGTCTCCTGTTTAGGAGGATTCGTCACTACGCCTTCATGCGGAGGTGTGAGTACATTTTCTGAAAGAAAAAGCACCTCTTTATAAACGGCTAATTATTATTAATAAAAACTTTCATTACAATTATCTAAAAATGCAGACCCAATGGCAACAGCACATAATGTTATATATATTTTATAGTTATAGTTTTCCACTGAACAAAAACAATACAAAATTGAGGTTTTAAGAGGAAACCCACCTGTTGTTTTATTCCATAATTTGACTGCAATATAGATTTTGTTGCTCTCTATAAGAGGGTTTTGACCATCAGCAAGTACCACAAGATGATACAGTCCTTCATCTTCCAGTGAGAGATTTGTGATGTGTAGTGTGACAGTACTGTTTTCCACATCACTGAGTACAAATCTTTCTGAGCAAAAAGAGGACGTTTGTCTACAACTTCCTTTCTTGTTCTCATTTTTGTACAGATTGAGAAAACTGTTGACAACAGAATCTTGAAAAGTGAATTCAACCGTGATGTTTGCTTCCGATGTCCCATTGACTTTATGCGCTGATTCCACTGAAATAAAAAAGCACACTGTCACTTTAAAAGGTTTAACTGCTTAATGGAAGGGTCTCATTGGGACGATTTACCCCAATCACCAATAAATCTTTTTTTTTTGGAGCCAAAATGTACATTTTTTACAACTTTACAATAAGGTTTCATTCATTAGTTAACTACATTAGTTATCATGATCTGACAATGACAAATACTTCAACATAGGGCTGTGCAATTATTCGTAATCGATTTTTCATTACAAATTTTTTATGGCTTCCAACGATTATGAAAAAAATCAAGGTAAAACAATTATTTGTATTCCGCGGCGCACATTCCTTTCCTTTACAGCGGCCCAGAAAGCAACACAGTGTCGGCTCAGATCCGGCCCACATCTGGTACACATGAGTTCAATCTGGGCCGACACTATGATGCTGTCGGGGTGCTCTTTCGTTCCTCCCTAAAATCCTGGACTTTTACATCCAAATGAAAAGAAGCGCAGAAACATCCAAATCAGCCAAATAAGTGAGTGTTGTAAAATGCAGTCTACTGTTGCTGATATTAAACCGTGTTATTAAAAGCACATTAAGCCACAAAAGAGACACTGTTCATTCTGTGTGCGCACCGAGACGAGAGCCGAACGCTTATATGCAAAGTATACGTGGCCTTCGGATACACGCCTAAGCGGTCAAATAGCCTACACACAAAAAGTCAAAGTGCCGTTTTGGCAAGTGTTCTCGTAAACACAGTCGGTTGTGTCTTAAGTGTAACAGTATATCGCATTTGTGCATTCGGTCTTAAAGTGACAGCATCCTAATAAACCTGCTGATAATCACACAACAAAAGACAAAGGAAAATCATTCACTAATCTTGACTAAATAAATTAAGTAGCTTTAATAAGGCCTAATCAATATTTAACTACACAGTAAGCAAATGCAGTGCTATTTTACATTTGATTTATTACATTTTTGTTGTAGGATATTTACTTATCTGAATGCCACTGTTGGTACATCTTCCTGAACAAAAATTAATGTATTATGTATTTGCTGTTTTGTTTGTAATTAGTTTCTTTGTTCTTATTGTATTGCTGACTGTTGACCTGTCTTCGGTTTTGACGACCTTTTACACTCAGTTAGCCTGTAATCGTTTTTTAAGTGAAGTACCATTAACTGAAATTTCACTTATAACTAAAAAATTCTCATATAGTGAAATAAGACGTTTTTTCTCATATCGTGCACCAATAATCGTGTGAAAATAATCGCCTTTTCAATATTGACCAAAACAATCGTGATTATGATTTTTGCCATAATCAAGCATCTCTACTTCAACAGCATTCATTAATCTAAGTTGATCTCAACATTTCCTAATACATTTTTTAAGATCAAAAGTTATCTGTTAACATTAGTTAATACGCTGTGAACTAACATGAATGGGAAGATTTGCATTTGCAAAGGTTAATAAAGGCTGTAAAACATATTGTTAGTTCATGTAATGCCTACTTAATGTTGTCAAATGATACCTTTACCCCTACATCATAGTAAAAACAGTCTGTGTCATGATGTTTCTTTTCATGTTAAATAAAGCAGAGTTATCTCATTATCAACATGACGGTACGATAAAGGTCTGAAGCTCTTCAAAAGGTTGTTTTGAAGATCTCTGGTTTGGTTTCTCACATTTTCCATGAGTCAAAGGAAATTTTTCGGTACTTCAGTTGTCTCTCTCTCTCTTTTTTTGTACAATACTACAAAACCTTTCAATAAAAACATATTTATGTGTAATTACAGTGGACAAAAAAGTACATTATTTGAACACTTAAACGGATGTATAATGTGAAATATCAAATCAAGTGGCATTTATTTTAAAGAAAACATGCACAAGCACGCTTGTACTGTATATCACTGTATATATATATATATGATATTTATGCAATTAAATGAATAGATTTACAGTGTTTCACCAACTTGAGTGTACAAAAATGTTCAAATTTCATTGGTTTTATATAGTGCCTTAATGTAGGCCTAAGAAACACGTTTGCAAAGCTGAAGTGAAAATGCCGTACAAATCAGCGAAACTCAACAGACAGGAAAAACAAACCCCCCCAAAAAATGATCGTGACCTCTTTTACTCACCGTTAAGACTCAAGTACAACGTGAATGCTAAAAGTAAGAGTTTCTTCTTGAGGTCACACTTCATGCTGCAGATGGAAGAGAGCAAGTGAACACAGGCAGCCACCGGAGATGCAAACGCCTTCCCGTTTCTGCTGATATATGCTAGCACTAACACTCTGTTTATAAGAAAACCTCCGTGTTTCAGTGGGAGGTACAGACAGGAACTGTCATCGCATTCAGGCTTTTTTTTCCCTCTGCCTTTTGTTCACTTTCAGTTCTCTATAAACCAATAGCATGAGGCAATTAAACCAATCTAAAGAAATTGTTATTGTACCAATAAGCAGAGGATTTTTAAATGTGGTCTGTTACCTATTTGTGATGTGATTTTGGGTCCTACAGTTTTGTCAAATCATTTCATCTCATTGCTCACACAATGTCACCACAAGACCACCGAGAGACCACCTTGAGTTTCACTATCCCACAGAGGAAGTGTGTGTGTGTGTGTGTGTGTGTCTATATCTAGTGTATTCATGCATAAACTTCCTGAAACAACCCAAACCTAAAGTTGGTGGAAAACTTTGACGGCACAGTTTAGTTATTAAAAAAAAATACTGGGGTTTTTATGTAAATTTTCTAAAAAGTTGCATTTTTGGAGAAGCAAGGTTTCCGCTCGACAGCGACAATTTGTTTTAAATAAATAAGTAATAGCCTACAACACGTGCTAAAGAAATATACATTTGATTAAAATAAAAATACCATAATACAAACTGAATATTATTTTCCAAATATTATTTTATACATATTTTTAATATATTTCACAGTATTTTTCACAGTAATGTGTTTATACATTAAAACATATAGCAGCCTTTTAAATTTCAGGATGAGGGTCCCTCACATTATTTGATGGTCCATGGCATCCAAAAATCTGACCCTTCCTAAGAGCTAATGTATGTTTTTTATTGAGTTTAACTAATGTAGGCTATTGTGTCTTCCACACTCAATATGAATGAATTTAGTTTTGTTTTTCCAGAAATCGTACTTAAGACAACGCGAATGTATGCCTCTGTCGAACACGCCGAGCACGTTTCCAGCCATGACGTATGGTTTAGGTTTAGACCGAACGCGCCCGTTCATGTTCGTGACGTCATGACGTTAGACCGTTCCCCGGATGAAACCGAGTTGTTATGACAACGACGGTAAAGCAGTAAAGCGAAAGTACGGTTGCACACCAAACGTACACGGTGTAGCTCGAGGTTTTTCACTCATGGATGCCGGAGCCAACACGTATCTCATTAGACCGAATTATAAAGACAAGTAAGATGAACTGCTGTTCCTTTTCAACGCTTAAAACTAAACGTAGCCGGTTAAAATGGCATCTAGCTAAGCTTAACATGAATTATAACAGGACACGCACAGCTCTAAAACGCATTTATGGAGTATTAACTTGCTAAACTTGATCCAAATACCTTATTTCGTTCGTTTTTCCTGTCGTAGGTTCAAGGCAGGGGTGGCAAAGGAGTGCATCAGAGAAATCCTCAGGGAACAGCTGTATGGAGTGCAGTATAATCCAGACGAGGTTCCCACATTATCCAGATCTTTAGCAGACTCTATTAAAAACAAGCTGAAAGGTAAGAAGCGCCGATACTAGTCGGGTTCTTGCTGCCAGGGATACATACTAGATTAACTTTACTTCATTGCAGTGATTGAGGAATATTTAGGGCGAAAATGTACTTTACTCAGGTACGAAATCGTTTTTTATAAAAAGGCGTTTATTGTGTTTAAAAACGTGTTGACGTCATATCTTTTTCACGAATTAAATGAATCAATACCCAGTTCCCAGTTAACAAAAATATATATTCTATGAACGTTTCGCTAACGTTGCAATTAAGTTAGATTTCTGCATACTGAACGTTCAAAACGTCACCAAAAATTAAATAAAATATTTTTTTTATCATTTTTCAAACATTTTGGGAACGTTACTTTTGAATGTTCTCTGATCATTCTGAAACAAATAGCAACATTAAAAAAAAAAAAAAAAAAAACGTTCAACCTTAACGTTTCTGTGCTAAAGTTTTGTGAACATTATTAAATACCAGATCGCTCTGAACAAACATTCTACTGACGTTAATGGAATAATGTTTGTTCATAACTTTGAGAGAACTTTGCCAAAATGTTAGCCACACTTCTTGAGACTGTTCCCTGTTAGCTAGGTTTTGTTTAAAAGATTTATTGTACTATTTCAATTTTCACAATACCTGTTTTCCAGAGTTTTAATTGGCACCAGGATTTTTTTTTTTTTTTTTGTAAAAACAAAACAAACTATGCCAATATTGAGTTTGCGGTAACGCTTTAGATTACAGCCCGGAAAGTACTGTGTAATTAAAGCAATTTTACAGCGTAACCTTCGGTAATTAAAGTGTACCTATAACGTACTTATAATATAAGTATAAGGGAACAATATGTAAAGTTTGGGGAATAAAGGGGTAACAACCAGGAGAATTAAAAAAATATTTATACTGTAAGTATTATAGAACTAAGGGGTTATTATTCTACTATTAAGATATAACAATCTTACATTTGGTAGCAATTTAGTGAGAACTCTGCGTACCTTTTTGAAATAATGGTGAACCAATGCATACTGTATAGGCTTTTTAAAAATTACAGGGTACATATGCATTTTTTAAGTAATCTTTTTAACAAAACTGCACAGAAAATGAAAACTATTGCAACTTTTGCTTAAATATTGGGGAAAGATACTCTTGTTTCATGTTCCATGTAGTTACAGGGTAAGTAAAATAAAAATGCATACACACAATCTTATATCACTGACTCGGAAACCTTTATTTATTATACAAGCACCACTTACCCTGTAACCACATGAAACCAGATATATTTCCCAGTATATTTAAAAAAAAATTGTAGTAGTCATAGCTTTTCTTGCCTTGAAACATGTTAGCCCAAACTTAAACATCTGCACTTTTGCTGTCAAAAAAATAAATAAAAATAAAATGTTTTTTTTTATTATAAATGCATAGATATGTACCCTGTCATTTTTAAAAAGCCTATACAGTATGTATTGGTACACAATTATTACAAAAATGTACGCAGTGTATGTTCTCGCTAAATTGCTCCCAAATGTAAGATTGTTGTGTCATAATAGTAGAATAAGTTCCCCTTAGTTCTATAATACTTACAGTATAAATATTTTTTTAATTCTCCTGGTTGTTACCCCTTTATTCCCCAAACTTTACATATTGTTCCCTTATACTTACATGTAAGTACTTTATAGGTACACTATAATTACAGAAAGTTACACTGTAAATTCCTCTTAATTACACAGTACTTTCCGGGCTGTAATCTAAAGCGTTACCGAGTTTGCACAGTTGACAGCAACATTAAAAACATTACAGCGTACGAACAGTGCTTCTATCCTGAAAAATAGCCTTGTTTTCATTTGTGAAAAATGAAATATGGCGTCTACTCTGATTAAAGCCGGGTTCACACTGTACGATTTTAGCCTAAAAGGTTCCTCTGATCCTATGGTCTAGAATCTGTAGTCTGATTGCTAGTTTGACATGTTCGCCGACAGCCGATTAATGGCCATTGCCTTCAGATTTGACCTCTGATGAAATTCTGGCAGTTTCAGAAGATTTGAGGTACAGTCATGCAGTGTTGCTTCTCCTTCGACAACCATCAAATCAGAAACCAATAGAAGCGCAGAACCTGATGATGCAATTAGTGTGACATCTACACACGTTTTCTTTTTTTTTTGTGCATTTTTATTTTCAAGAAAAGTCATGATCAATATTAACATTAGAGATTGTTTTTCTTTGCTAGCCACATTTGCAATCCTCACATTTACTGAAAGTGTCACGGATTGAGTTTTCGTCCGTGCGTCCATTTTTAACGCATCTTGACTGTCGTAGTCTGACATTATTGAAAAAACTGAGATCCTACAGTGTGACGTGGCTTACAGCGGGATCATGATCGCACAGTCTGACAAGCAACAGTCGTAAAGGACTATTATAAATCATTCAAAGGTTCATACAGTTTGTGCATTTAGTAACTAAATATCCACTGCCATAGGATTCCATCAGTCAATTTACAACGCCTATTACATTTAAATACATTGAACGAGGAAATATTGTTTCTAATTTTTTAAAATTTCGCTAAAGTATGTTTTTGGTTGAATTAGTTTGATACTTTGAGTATATTATAAGCATAGAGTGATGATATTTGTGCTCTTTTCAGATGTGGGCTTTGACAGATACAAGCTCATTGTGCAGGTGGTTGTTGGAGAGCAGCGTGGAGAGGGAGTCAAGTAAGTGTAATACTTCCTAGGAAAATGAATGAATTGTGAAAACAGGATGGTCTTTAGCAAACCCGAGCACTCGCTCTGCGTTCTTCTTATGGCATAGACCCACAACCACAGACATTATCACGTGCAAGACATGTCCTCAGATGTTTAGCTGTGACCTTTGGGGTGTTTGCCACTTAGATGAGGTTTCTACTGAGTGCACTGATCTTTCTAGGACACCCACATCGAGCAAGGTATAATCTGACTCACTTTGGTCTCATGTTATGAAACCAATATCGCAGGGCATCTGAAACTACTTTATAGATCATCCATTACCATCGACGGAAAAAGTGCAGTGTTGTCAGTTACACATTCAAAAATAATAATTATTATAGTATATAGAATTCTAGTATTTTTTTTACTAATTCGAGTGTTTGTAGCATAAGGTCAATGTTTTTCACTATATGTTTTGATAGGATGGGTGCACGCTGCTTCTGGGATGCAGACACTGACAGCTGTGCTCAAGATATATATATGAACGTAAGTGAGGAATTACTTTCACTGACTTTGAAATGTGATTTTTTTTTAATCTCTTAGTTTATCTTTCTTTTTCTAATAGGACAGCTTGTTCTGTGTGGCCGCTGCATTTGGTGTGTATTATTACTGAAGACATGGAAGATGTGCTGAGGACCAAATATTTTCTAGAGGGATTATTTTGTGATATTTATTTAAATCATCACATTCAGTTTTTAATATCAATCGCATTCATGTTTGTTTGTCTGAATACCTCTCTGTATGATATGCCGAAAATGTTAATATTCATATTATATTATTATTGTCTTAGAAAACATTACAGCAATCGATTTTGACATGCAATGCTGTCTGTTTCTTATGCATTAAAGACACATAATTCCATTCCTGAATGCCGTCTTAATGAAAAATAACTACATAAATTGGTTAAATGTGAAAGGATCCCCCTACTGATTGTTTATGGAAGTCACAAGAGTCAGATGACCCAGTTTAATGCTGGAAATGGTGAATTACATAAAAAAAAAGAGATCGCTTTGTGGAAAGGATTCCTAAATGACCTCTGACCCTGCTAGGATTACTGTTTTATTTTGTGATTATGCGTGTCAAGAAAGCTACTGTAAGTTTTTCAGGCAACCCATTTGGAAAATTGGAAAGAGGCATCCTTTAGCATTCTCTAAATATTGGGATGTCAGTTCTTTATTTCAGCCTCATGCTGATGAGATATAATTGTGTGATGAGAGACTGGTGTGCTTTTCCTTGCCTATTGCTCATTGGTTTTTTGTTTTTCCGTTGTGTGTGTGGTTGAAAATCAGTCAGTGTGATTGTTGGACTGACAGTGATGGACTAGCAGAGAAAGCCCACGGGTGTGAAAATAAACACAGATACAAACAGATCTGAGAAATAAACTACAAACACTGAGAGGGGACACTCAGATTGCAGATATATTTAAGAGGTCAGATATCGGAAACATACTAAAAAAGGCCAGCATTCCTGCCAGTGGATGTTTTTTAGACAAGATGGTTTCTTATTGAAGGATTCTTAACTCTTTTTTTCATATTGGCAAATTTTTAATAGTTAATAAATTCATAGTTATTATTGACAATGATCAGTTACGAATATTGAAATTGTATGTGATGACATTTATTTATTTATTTATTGTATACAAATATACATATAATTGACTGAAGACACACTGCATCTACAATTGCATACTGTAGGGTAGGCACTACATTTGGTTTGAAACTTACTTCGCGACTTAAAAATGATGTTGCATAGTATATTGCTGTAAAGTGTCCATCGGATGCACACTTCAGAATCTTGCAGAAGTATTAGGTCACCCAGGAACTTTTAGCCTTCTGTATTATGAATACTGTGAATTCAGAACATACTTCTCGGCTTACATACTGTATAGTGTACTGTATACTTCGCCTATTAATCAGTATAAAATTAGGCATATTCGGATGCAGTGCATGACTTGAGTATGATACAATTGGTAAGAGAGGAAACTGACTGACAACAAATCCTGGTTCCCTTTCGAGAACGGTCACTTTGTATTGCGTAGCTATTACGCAGTGGGGAAACTCCTTTTCCTCGAAATATTAGGCTTGTTTGAGATGAGCAAAATCTGCGCAGAACCGATCACCGGTGATCAGCGCGAGATGCATGCCGGTTAGAAATGTGTCCGAGTGCGGTCCGCCTTGCTCTGATGTCATGCTGACGTGAGTCAAAAAAGTCTCGCGACCGCAAGGCGCACGTGTCGGATTCTGCAGTCGCGCGCAGTTGCTCTCCACCGACTGCGCTGATCAAAAGCATGATGGGAAACGACTTGCTGACGGCACAGCTTAATGCTCATTGGTTTAAACAACCGTGATGTATTGTTCTCTTTTAAAATGTTTGATTTTAAAACTCTGATATCATGTTTTATGTGTATAGATTATGTGTGGATATCCCCAAACTCTCAGACAGTGCGATCTATTTGATGTAATTTTTTTTATTTTTTATTAAAAATAAAAACACATATCTGTAAAGAAAAAAAATGATTCATAAACATATAGGCCTATTTAAAATGGAATTAAATAAGTACTTTGAGTGTCTTGTTCATTATATTTATTTTCATATTCAAGCAACAAAACTTAAAATACATCCAGTTTATTAGCAACACCGTGCACGAGTGTGAATCCCGTGAATCCCGCGATATCCGCCTTTGATCTCACAGGTGTCAGATCCAGAGCGATCTGTCCGGCTTGCCTGCGCTTTTTTCACTCCTCCTCTCACTGCAGCCGCCTACTCTCGACTACATTTCAGGCGAGGCAAGGCGCATCTCAAACAAGCCTAATGAAGCTTTCATTTAAAACGCAGTCCAGCTGCACAGTGAAACGCAGCAGAGTGTCTAGCTCGCTCATTGGCTGTGCTGCGGCAACTGCACATCCAATGGCCGAGCACCTCTGAACGCGCGACCCAATCAACTGACTTGGCGCCGAGTACGTCAGAGCACCCTAATGGGCGTGGCCTAAGCCTATAAATATTGCTAATTTCGGCCAAAATACCAGATTTACTCACCTTTAGCGACACTTCTCGTCTCTGAGTCCTCACCGAAGCTTTTCGCCACCAACGGCAGCTCGAACACATGGAGTTTAGCGAGCCCACGCCGGCCGCGTCCCCGCGTGCTTCGCTTTCTCTTTCACAGTCTTCTCCGGTCCTGTTTGCCGAGGCAGACCAGCGCCCCTCCCCTCATGCGACGGATCGGATGAAGAACACGATAGCCTCTCCATTGCTGCGTCTGAGGAGGAATGGTCAGGCTCGGTTGACCCTGCCATCTCACAGTCCTGTGCTAGCACAACAGCTAACGTGACCAGGACTAATTCCAGGGTTTCCGCGGGGTTGTAAAAGGTGGTAAAAGGTAGTAAATTAAATTATGCCAAATTAAGGCCAGTAAAAAGTAGTAAACGTCATCTGACGAAGTAGTAAATTTTCGAACCCCCATCCAACTAGGCCTATGAGTTTCAATTTGTGTTAAGTGCAGGACTTTGTTCTAAAATTCGCGTGGATTTATTTATATGTAGCGAGTAGGACCTGTGCGATATCATGTGACGTGGTGTTTGTTCGTTCGCGCGCGCTGAAACAAACTGGGTACCCGGCTGGCCTGGCTTGCTGCCCAACCTGTTCGCGAGTTCGCTTCTATTTCAGTCATCAGTCGGCCGCCAAAGCCATATTTGATCGGTGAGTAGCCTAATGTATACGACTGACTGCTGCGCTTGTGACAGGGTGCATGTTAACTGAAAGAAGGAACAGAGAGAGAGCCCCGGCTGCGCGCGCGCACTCAATTCACTCTTGCTCTCTCTCCCTCGCTCATATTAATCAAAATCAATTGACACGATGGTAAAAGGTCGGAAGACCAAAGTTTCACGTGGCGCAATTGGAAATTTATTTCCCGCTGTGTGTGAATTGTGATAAAAAAACATTGCCTTATCTTCTCTGAAAAGCGTTCCCCACATTCAGCTGACATAACCACACTTTCAATAAACGGAAAAATCTATCCTAAAAAAACCTATTTGTTGACACAAATTTTGTGCGATGTCCTAACTGATGGGATAACCACACAATGCGTACACGTCCGCTAATGACGCGTCACTTTAATGAATGGTTAACAGCTTAACACAACGGATCTGTCCTCACGGGACTTCTGAATCGGTAACACAATATGGTTCCATTTATTAAAATCTAGTTAACTACATTAGTTAACATGAACTATTAATAAACTGCACGTCTACATCATTAATTAATCTTTCTTAATGTCAATTTCACCATATAGCCTACATTATTGAAATCAAAAGTTGTATTTGTTAACATTAGTCAATGCACTGTGAAGTAATATGAACAAACAATTCATGTATGTTGTAAACTTCGTAGTATTTTCAGGTTATTTATATTATAATGTGTAGAAACATTGCAAAAAAAAAAAAAAATTAGTTTAGACTGGAGTGAGGTGAAACCAGAAAAGAAGTGCAAAGCAAGTTGTTATCTAGCAGCAATTTTTGTTATTTAATTTAAAAAAAAAAAAGTATCTGGCAGCTAATTCTATTAAATTTTACAGTATATGGTAGAAAATTAGACTTCAATAAACTTTTAAAATAAACTTTTTAATGCTCCGTTTTTATTCTACTTTTTGATATTGATACGATTATACCAAAACAATTATCAATTTTTTTTTTAAAAAGGGCAAGAAAGGATAAGTGTCTGTCGGCCACCACCGAAGACCAATTTTGACCAAGGAAAAAACCCTGGACATTATGGGGAAATGCAAGTTTTCGAAGATATTTCATTACTTTACTTGTCTCTAGTATATACGCCACTACAGTTGCATCTTGAAGTCGTGATGGTATTAAAAAATATAGTGAAGGTATTAAAAGGTATTAAATTCATTTTAAGAATTTCTGTGTATACCCTGTATTAAATGAAAGATAAAATATGATAGAGCAATAGAATGAACAGTGACAGAAACAGAAGCATGCTTTTTAGCAGGATTAATTAAGCATGAAAATATCTGAAGGAAATATATATTTGATGAACAAATTAAGCCAACTAATATGATTTATATTCTTTTGGTTTATCTACTAATACATTTAAAAATTACAAATGCAGTGAAAATTCAGGGATCGGTTACGGTATCGATATCAGCGAGTACCAAAAATGAAAGTATTGGTATCCGTCTCGTTCTGCAAAAAGTGGTATCGTGCATCCCTAATTGAAAATATTTAACGGGTTCGCGTGAGGGAGGACCAAAGCAGTGCCATATTTGAAGCACATTTAGAGATGTGATTAAATAAATTGCTGTTTTGGGATAGTAATTTCACTGCTTAAGTCTGTGTGTGTTTGTGGGTATGTGTGTGTGATGTGACACACTTTATTATTAAAGTTTATGGCTGTTAAGTGTCATTTGTTTTTAAGTGCCAAGGTTATTATTCACCTTATTAGGGCTAAGGGCTAACGTAATGGTTAGGATAACTCAAGGGCTAGGGTTAAAGGGGTCATATAATGCCATTTTTGTACAAGTTAATATGAATCTTTAGGGTCTAAATGAAAACTTTGTAATATACTTTTATCAAAAATTCTCATTAGTATTTTAAGAAAACACTCATTTTACTAGCTCAAAAATAGCTCTGTTTTCAGCACGCCGTTTCAGTGCACAATCACATGCCTTTAAATGATAATGAGCTTTGGTCACCCCGCCCCTCTGCGTACACAGTTTTTAATAACACAATAACCATAACGCGTTGTTCATTATAAATGTGGGATTATGAATTATATTGAGAACATTGTAACGTTACATAGAATATATGTCGTGTTGGTAGTAAAAAATATTGTGGAGGTAGTAAAAAAGGTAG